TGGGCAGCACAGTTGGTTCCATGTTTTTGCTATTGTGAATAATGCTGCAATAAACATGATGTACAGAGTGATTTGAATTCCTCCGGATATATTCCCAGTATGGGGATTGTGGAGTCATATGGGAGGTTAATTTTTTGATCTTTTAGGATTCACCACACTTTTTCCACAAAGACTTTACTAGTTTACACTCCCAGCAACAGCGTAGAAGTGTTCCTTTTTTGCTGCATCCTCTCCAGCATCTGTTGTTTTTTGAGTTATTGATGAATGCCAAAGATATTGGCCTGTAGTTCTCTTTCTTTGTTGGATCTTTACCTGGCTTGGGTATCAAAGTGATGTTAGCTTCATAAAATGACTTGGGGAGAGTTCCATCTTTTTTTAAGTGCTCTCTCCAATTCCTCCCTGACATAGCTACTTACAAAGAGTTTTGCCTGGAATACTTTCAATAGGACTGGTATCAGCTCCTCCTTGTATGTTTTGTAGAATTCCTGCTGGATAGCCATCTGGTCCAGGGCTTTTTTGGTAGGTAGTTTTCTTATGACATAGCTGATTTCCTGGGTTGTTATTGGTCTATTTAGAGTCTCGATTTCTTCTTGTTTCAACCTGGCAAGGTTGTGTGATGTCAGAAAGTCCTTCATTTCATTTAGGTTTTTCAGTTTGGCGTTTAATGACTTTTTAAAAAGTTCCAAGGATGATGTAAAATGCTAAGTGCTCTCTCCAATTCCTCCCCAACATAGCTACTTACAAACAGTTTTTCCAATAAAGCTCAGAAAAGTTAGAGCATTAGTCTCTACCAACAGGTTCATCAATACACATTCACTGAATATCTATTCTTTTACTAGGCACTGGAAGAAAAAGGCTGCTATCAGCAGATTCCGACACTCATTTCATCTTATGTGCATTCATGAAAAAGTTTGCTGCTTACAAAATGTTGTATTTTTAGAAGTCATTTTGAAGCCTATGTCTATTCCAGAAGAATCTTCTCTTACCCGATTTAAATTTACAAAAAGTACAGGAAAAAAGTCATGTTTGAGAAAAAGACAAAAGTTTAATATACCTGTAAGATTTGGTACATAAAGGAGAATACAATGAGATAGAGTTTTATATAAAAGCTAAGTGGTTTGGATATTCGTCCCCTTGGATGGAGACATGTGCCGTTCAATATAAAAGCCATTAGCCAAATATGGCTAGTTACACTTAGTTAATTAAAGGAAAATAAAAATTCAATTACTTGGATACACTAGCCACATTTTAAGTGTTCACTAGACACATATGTCTAGTGGTTACCATATTAGTTAATGCAGGTCAAACATTTCTATCATTATAGAATGTTTTATTGGATAGTGCAACCTCTTTGGAAAACAGTGTGACAATTTCTGAAAGAACTAGAAATTGATCTTCCATATGACCCAGCAATCCCCCTACTGGAACTATACCTGGAGAAACTGAAATCATTCTACAAAAAGGATACCTGCACATGCATATATATTGCAGTACTATTCGCAATAGCAAAAACATGGAACCAACCGTGCTGCCCATTAAAACTGGACTGGATTAAAAAAATGTGGTACATATACACAATGGAGTATCATGCAGACATAAAGGACAAACACAGACTTTGCAGCAAGTTGGATGGATTTAGAGTCTATCATACTCAGTGATCTATCACAGAAACAAAGAACAGAGTACCATATGTTCTCACTTATAAATGGACCTTCAACAACTATAATACATAAGAAAGGGATTGGCAGTAGTAGGAAAAAGCCAGGGGAGTGGGGGTGGGATTGGCTGAGGGAAACTGCCAGGGAAGGGGGGCACACCTCATCATCAAGGGTACACGCATGATGAACATTTGTATACCTAACCCTGAACTGTATCCCACATCTTTAAAATAAACAGTTAAAAAATATATATATATGAATGTCTCACATCTGTGTTCATTTCAAAGTATGGCAGTGTCTTGTAGAATGGCATTATTACTGTTGCATGTTTTTGTGTGCCATTGGGAGAATGTCAGAGCTTGAATTAGAGTAACAAGCAAATATTATATATCTTGTTAAACTTGGCAAGAATGGAAATGAAACTAGGGATATGTTAGTTCAAGTTTATGGAGGCTAATGCCATGAAGAAAATGGCAGTGTACAAATAGTTTAAACATTTTTTTCTGAGGGGACAGAAAGTGTCACTGATAAAGAGAGGTTAGTACAGCCAGTAATGAGCAGAACTGATGAAAACATTCCAAAAAATTGTCAAATTGTGCATCAAAATCATCGGCTAACTGTGAGAAGCACAGCAGACCAAATAAACATTGATAAAGAAACAGGAAAATCTTAACTGAAAATCTTGGCGTGGGAAAGGTGTGTACCAAATTGGTCCTGAAGGAGCTTTTGCATCACAACAATGCACCAGCTCACACAGCACTGTCTGAGAGGGAGTTTTTAGCCAGTAAACAAATAACTGTATTGGAATACCCTCCCTACTCACCTGATCTGGCACCCAGTGACTTTTTTCTTTACCCAAAGATGCAGGAAATATTAAAAGAATGGCATCTTGATGATATTCAGGACATCAAAAGCAATATGATGAGAGCTCTGATGGCCATTCCAGAAAAAGAATTCCAAAATTGCCTTGATGGGTGGACTAGGTGCAGGCATTAGTGCGTAACTTCCCAGGGGGAATACTTTGAAGGTGGCCATAATAATATTCAGCAATGAGGTATGTAGCACTTTTTCCAGGATAAGTTTGCAAACTTGATTGTCAGACTACATATGCAGTACTCTACAGGTGTACTCATGTGATCTGGTGTTTTAACATTCATTACTTAGGAGACAGATTTCAGAATTATATCCCCTTCTTTGTAAAAACTGTAATATCCCTCTGCTGCATTCCAAAGTTTCTGTAAATACTACATGGTAGTACACATCCACATCTTTATCAGTCCAGGTTCCAGGAAGGAAAACAGAAATCATTCAAAGCATTTTAAACAGACATCATTTATGAGGGAGAAACGGTTACACAGACGTTGAAGATTAAAAATGGGCAGGTAAGATTAAACCACAAGTTCTTAACTGCATGTTGCCTACCAGTCCTAGAGCTGGTGGAACAGAAGGTGGAATTGGTATTCGCAGAGCCCAACACCAAACTCACTGCTGGGAGTGCCACGTGAAGATAAAGAAGGAAGTGCTGCTCCAACAGGTTCTAGACTTTGTCAGGATCACAGCCATTGCCCTGGATGCCAGAAGCAGAGAGTAAAATACACCCACAACAACAGCTTTCCCACTTTCCACCTTCTGTTTTCCTGCCTGTGCCTCCTCCAGGCAGAATCTTACAGGAAGCCATTTGACAAGGAAGGCTGAAAGGTATAGTTGCTGAAAAGTTGTAGACTGCAGACTCCAGTCCCAAGCATCATCTCAGAGCAGAGTGTAGGTGAATATGTGAATATGGGGCTCAAAGCAATAGGCAATTAAACTGCACAGCACCTCACCAGGAAAAAAAAAAAAATCTTCCTGTAGTCAGGAAACTGTATGAAGAAAAACTGACTTATTTGGTCTTTTAAACTTTTATCTTCGATATACTCTAGAGTTTATCACAGTGCCTGCCATATAAAATGCTCAATATTAATAAATATTTACAAGAACAATGCCTATTCTCATCATTAGTAAATAGTTTAAATCAGTACTCGACTTAAATGATTGGCAGGTAATGCAACTGATTTTTTAAAAAATAGTTTAACACATACGTACATAAACAACTTGTAGTATACGCCCCTTGGAAGTTAACTTTTTTTTTTCAAACAGTGCCAACATTATTACTTAAGAAAATTTTTTAGAATCATTCTTTTGAAAATGCCTTTCAGAACTAGTTCTTAAAAAATAAATTATAATTAGTAGAACCTACTCTTGCCAGTCCTACTTCAGCCAGTCCTAACACAACTGGTTTTGATCTGAAAGACTTAATACTACTTTCAAAAGTTAAATCTACTCTCAAAGAATAGTCTTGTTACTATTTTTGGCAAGTACTTGCCACAGTTTCCTTGAGGCGACCTGTCCTAGTCCACTTCCACCACTGTGAATTTGGAATAAGATGTCAAATGTGGTGAAAAATAATGGTAATAATTTGAAGATGACTTTGGTCTTTGCTGCCTTCCTTTGAAGAGGGAATCACCACCACATCCCATGCCCCTCAACCCCGGGTAATTTCAGTGGGCTATTTTTTCCATAACCCAGGGTTATTTTCAGTTAAGACAAGTGTACAAGCACAAAAATGCCTAGTTTCTGACCTCCAGAATATAAACCAGGACACACTTTACCATCGCTCACCCTTCCTTAAAGGGAAGAATTCATAAAATGCATTTTTGTGGTAAAATAGAAAACATCTCAAAGGTCAGTGAGGTGCGGGAGTCAGGCAGATGCAATGGTTGTTCCCTGCCTAAAAGTAGTAATACAAAACTTAAAAAAAAAAAGGACTTCTATGGCGCTGTGTGCCAGGTGCCAGATGCCTTCACAACCCTGTGAGGCAGGTACTCTTATCGCTCCCATTTTACAGATGAGAAAACTGATGCTTACAAAGGCTCACTGAAGTTAACTGAGGCTCACTGAGGTTAACTAGGCAAGGCCACTCAGCTAGTGATTAAGAGGCTAGGGTTCAATCCTAGGCCATGTGGCTCAAGTCTATGCTCTCAGTGAAAAAAACAAAAAACAAATCTAGCCATTTTTAAAAAGGCAAGCTTGGCAACTAGGGAATTAATGAACGGCAAGGGGAGTTACCACTTCAAAAACAGTGTAATGCAGTAAGGAAACCTGACATCCTAGGAATGAGATGAGAAGGGAGAGAGACCAGAGACCGGCTAACTGTCCCGCTCCGGACTATCCCTGATCACTGCGGCGCAGGGTAGCCGAGCGACCTCCGAGACTAGCATGGCGCAGCAGCATCCCTCACACGGTGCTTTCCTGGTGGCGTCATATCGCAGGCGACCGGGAAAAGGCGGGACTTCCGACTCAGCCAGCCAGTTCCGGCCACACCGGAAGTCTCTGCTGAGGAAAGCGGAGGGGATACGCGCTATCGGGAGCTCCCGGTGAGCGTTGTGTTTCACAGATTCGGAAGAAAGATCGGACAAATGTTCATTCGCAGTTGACAGATATTCCGGTGAAAAACAGGATCTGAGACATGGATAGCCGCTTGCAGGAGATCCGGGAGCGGCAGAAGTTACGGCGACAGCTCCTCGCGCAGCAGGTCCGCGGCCCCCGATGGCCCATGTGGGAGGGGTCGCGAATGCGCGTGCGCGGCCTCGTTCTTCCCTCCCCCTGCCTTTTTCTGCCCCTCCTTACTTGCGACTGTCAAGGCCTTCCTGGTCCTACCGCCCCATCCCTGCATCTCCCCTTGTTGTTCTCACCTCCTTCGGTGCTCCGAATTTTTTCCCGGTTTCTGCCGCCTTCATTGTAGTGCTAACGCAAATGCCACCGTTGACCTTTAGCAACATTTATGAAACGGCCGCCAGGAGTGTGGCGTGGTGCTCGATGGTGGCATACAGAGCTTTGGTCTTTGCGGATCAATTATTACCACCGCACTTCACGCAAGATGAGTGACTTATTATCCCCTTAATTTCTGTTCACTGTTTAAATCGTCTTCCGTATCTTGCCTTTCCTCGCCGTCAGTATCAAATTCTTGAGATTGTGGCGTCGTTGTGGAAAAAGTTTACAATTTTTTTTTTTTTATTTACTCACTTTTTTATATTTTGTAGAGAAGAGTCTCGCTATGTTGCCCAAGCTGGTCTTGAACTCCTGGCCTCAGGTGATCCTCCCACCTCAGCCTCCCAAAGTGCTGGGATTACAGGCATGAACTACCGTGCATGACCTTACAGTATTTTCTTTGGGATCATATATAAAGATTGCATTGGACATAGCCTGAGGGTAAATTTTAGATTCTGTATGTTACATATACATTTTAAGCACAATATCCTAGTCATCATCCACAGCTAATTTTTTGGAATCTTATTCTGTATTGGTCACGCACCCCTTGAAATAGGTAATTTATCTTTGCTTATCAAATAATGAAATAGGCTCCAGAGGTTAAGTAACTTTACTCCTGGTCCCTCACCTCTTGACTGGGGAACTGAAGGGGGTTAGGGGGGATGGTTTCAGGATGATTCAAGCATATAACATATACTGTGCACTTTATTTCTATCATTATTGCATTGTAATATAATGAAATAATTAGACAACTTACCGTTTTAAAAAGAGGCGCAGATGGAAGTGGTAAATAAAATAATGGGCAGACCATGCATGGACTAAAATAAGTGTTGGAATCTAACTAAAGCCTAACACCAGATGCAGCTGTGCAATGAAGATACATCAATTCACTTGCCACTCACTGATAGGGTTTTGATAAGGGTCTACAAGCAATTGATTTATTATGGTCTCTGTGCAGTCACACCTCACTGCTAATGTTTGTCTGTAATTGCTGCTGCTCCACAACACTATCAGCTCCACCTTAGGTCATCAGACATTAGATTCTCATAAGGAGTGCACAACCTAGATCCCATGCACAGTTCATCGTGGGGTTTACTGCTCCTATGAAAATCTAATGCCACCAATGATCTGACAGAAAATGGAGCTTAGGTGGTAATGTGAACAATGGGGAGCGCCTGGAAATACAGATGGAGCTTATGAAACTTCAGGGAGTGGCTGTAAATACAGATGAAGCTTCTCTCCAGCTGCTCACCTCCTGCTGTGTTCCCTGGTTCCTAACAGGGTTGGGGACCCAATTCTAAACCATTCCTTTGCTGCTTCTTGTGTATGAGTAACACTTGCTGATTAGTAAAATGCACATGCAGAAAATACTGATTGTACACAGTTCTATTTAAAAATTGAGGCTGTATTTTCCATCTGTTCAGATCAGTAAAAGGGATGGGAGAAATACTCATAGGTTGTAATGAGGCGTGTTACTGTTATTTTTCAGTAATAAGTTTTGGTTTTGGTAAATGGAAGTCTGGAACTTATTCTCTTTTATTATCTGATGAACAGATTTGTGGTATACTGTTAAAAATGTGGGAATTTGGAATAATATCTGTTCCTTGTCTGTCTGCATTATGCTCTTGGACGATTCAAGTATCCTTTCTAAGTCTTTTTCTCCAACTTCTTTTATCATGTTTCTTAAAAAAAATATTCAGAGCCGGGCTCGGTGGCTCAGCCTGTAATCCCGCGCCTTTGGGAGGCTGAGGTGAGTGGATTGCCTGAGCCCGCGGGTTCGAGACCCGCCTGGGCAGCGAGACCTCATCTCTACAATAAATCAAAAAATCAGCCGGGCATGGTAATGCATGCCTGTAATTCCGGCTACTTGGAAGGCTGAGGCGGAAGGATCGCCGGAGCCCAGCAGGCCGAGGCTGCGGAGGCTGGGAGCAGCCACTGCACTCCAGTCTGGGCGACAGAGTGAGACTCCAACTCAAAAAAAAAAAAAAAAATTCAGTAGCTCTTTGTTGCTAGCACGTAAGGTATCTTTCTCCTTAATATTGAACTCAGACCTCCTTTTGGCTCTAAATACGTTCATAGAACAATTATTTAGAGCCAAGGGCACTGGCAAGTGAACCATGCATTATATAGGTAGTCTCTACCCTCAAAGAGTTTGCAAGGTGCATAATATTTAATAATAGCTGCCATTTTTAAGCCCCTTTTAATTTATGTCATACTTTGCTAAACTTTTTACATATATTATTTCAATCCTACAATTTAGATTCTATCTGCCTTTTATAGACGAAAAAATTAAGCTCAAAGAATTTTAAGTTACAAAGGTGGTAGGTTTGCAAGCTGCAGTTTTAACTTAGGCCATTCCATGTTCTTTATAGTACACCTAGCCGTCTCCTTATCTTCTAGTTGGACATGAACCATTTCACTTACGTAAAGATCCTGATATTATCGAGAGACATCCTCTTCCTCTAAACCAATTAATTGCAGCCTCTCCTTCACTTACTTTTCTCTGTATGAAGAAACAGACTGGTTTATTACTCTCCAGAATGTGATTTGTACAGTATATATGCTTTATGATTTTTAAAATTCTGTTTTCATTCTGAATTCCTTGTATCCTCACATGGCACAACTCAGAACTTAGTGATGAAACCTATCCTGATCTTCTTGGCTTAGACTCTTCCTGTGAGCTTTCATTGCCCTTATTGTGGAGTCTACTACTATATTACTATATATTGTCAATTGTCATGCAGAATATAAACAGTTTGAATGCAAAGTCTATTTGACTCTTGATGAGTTAATCTTCCACCCAATACTTCTTGCACAAAATAAGGTTTTAATAAAGATTTGTTGATTGATGAAACATTGGAGTACAGCACAACTCAATGTGTATGATTTGCTTTTGTCTGCTGGGTGAAGACATATGCATTAAGTAGGTCAAGATAATGATGGTGACAATTGATGCAACCACCAGCAATTTACACCTGCCTTTTTATTTTAATTTGTTTTGTTTTAGAAAATCTTATATATCTTCAAAAGATACTAAATTGTCATAATTAATTAAATAATATACTTAGTGCTACTGTAATGGGAAAATCTATTATTGAGTTGATTCAGTCATTCAACAATTTTAAAAAAAGTTGGAGCTTGAGAAGACAATTACATATGTAATCAGAATCATGGCTTAAAACATTTCTCTTTTAACACACTGTATTTTGATTTAGATTCTAGAAGAAAATCTCATTGATTCATTAAGCACATATTTATTACCATTTACTATGGGTTAGGCATTATAACAGCTGCTGACACATAGGTATCAACAAAACAGGATTCTTTAATCCTTAGGAATTTTGCATTTTATTGGGTAGAAATCAACAAAAACTGATAAGACCATTGAAGTATATAAATAAAATAATTGGAAGGTGTGATAGCAACTGTGAAACAATATAAATAGAAAGTAAACAAAGGTAAAAGATAAAATCATTGAAAGTTCTATTAAGTGCTATGAAACAATTAAGGAAATAAGTTTGAAAGGAAAATAATGGAAAGGGCTACCTTCCCATATATAGTAGTCACGGAGTAACTCTTTGGGGAAATAATTTGTACTCTTCTGAGATAGAAAAAGAAAGGAGTCAGTCATGGGAAGAAAGAACGCATTCCAACTTTGTGTTGGATATGTTGTCTCCTGACTAAAGAGGATTTATAGAGGAGTTGAAATTTCAGGAACAGTTTTTATTGGAAGAGATTTATCACTGGAGAAACCTGAGGGGAGTCATATTGAGTGGGTAAACTACAAGGTAAGTGGATAATCGCTGGTAACTTGCTGCTCCTCATGGCCTATAAATTACATTCCATCCCTACTGTTTGATCTGGCCTTCAAAGTTTTCCATGAATTGGTTGCAGTCTACTTAGCCAGCTGTATTGTAACCATTATTTGTTTACATTTGTTGTACTTTGCAAAGTTGCCCCAACTGCTGACCAAAATGTATGTTATCATTAAGGAATTAGTAAAGTTAAGCATTGTGCCAGTAATCATTATAAAGACTTAGTTTGAACAAAACTGGATAGATTTTTATTAGCACATTGGATAAATAAGGTATAATAATACGAGCTGACACACACAGTGTTTAGCATAGTACCTACAACCCTTTGTAAACACTATTTTTGCTGCTTTTTTTTGGTTATTGTTACTACACGTTGAATATCTCTTATCTGAAATACTTGGGACCAGAAGTGTTTTGGCTTTCAGTTTTTTTATTTTGTTTTGTTTTCATTTTTTAATATTTGCATTTCACTTACTGGTTGAGCATGCCAGATCTCAAAATCTGAAATCTAAAATGCAGTGACCATTTCTTTTGAGTGTCATATTGGCACTCAATTTTCAGATTTTGGAGCATTTTGGATTTTGGATTTTGGGATTCATCATGTTCAACCTATATTACTACACAGTGTTTATTATTTCTTTTAAAAGTAGAAATTGACTGCAGTTAAGTGTTTAATTTTCAAATACAAATGGTTCTGGACTTACTGTGATTTGACTTAATGATTTTTAGCTTTATAATGGTATAAAAGTGATAGATGTTCAGTATACTTCTTGACTTAAATCCATCATAAATTGAAGCAATTAAAAGTCGAAATCACACTTTCAAATTTTTTTTTGAAATACACTTATTTACTTTCAACTTACAATTGGTTTATTGGGACATAGTACCATCATAAATCAAGACGCCTCTGTATTACTGAAAGCATAAAATGCTTTTCCAGCTGTCAAAATTATCCTTAGTTAATGTGGCTTTGTCCAAGGTTTTTCTAGTTTGTCTGGCAAGCTAATTATTTGTTGTGTGAGTTATGTTTTTGAGGTGTTTGTTTTGTTTTTTGTTTGTTTTCTAAATACTTAATACATTAAATGCTGTTACAAATGCTTGCAAAGGCTATCCAGTGCATTGTGATCTAATTTTTGGTTTTTACCTTTTCTCAGTTGGGAGCTGAAAGTGCTGACAGTATTGGTGCTGTACTAAATAGCAAAGATGAGCAGAGGGAAATTGCTGAAACAAGAGAAACTTGCAGGTCAGTTGAATAAGTTTTTTTAGATAACATGCTAATATTGTGGAAGGATTATTGTTTTGATAAACATAACCCTAGGTATGCAGTGTGTTGTTATGAAAAGCATATGAAATGGCTATGCTTATGGGTCAAACATGTTAGACTGTCAGCAATTATATGTGGTTCCACTGAGAATAATCACAAATATTTGTTACATATTAGCACACACCAAAATGCAACACATAAGATAATATTTATGAGATTAGGTGAATCATTGAACTTCCTGAGCATTTATTTTTCTCATTTGTTTGCTTTCTCGTAAAGTACAGAATTATCAATCAGGTTGTGTGACCTTTCTAAAAGACTTATAAACTAAATAGATAAATCTTTAATCAGAAAAAAATTGCCTTGTTCTGTTTGTTTATAACTTTTCACTTAACATTATTAATAGATGCATTTATACATCTTGTGTATATTTGTATGTGATATTTCTATTTTAATTTCCAGGGCTTCCTATGATACCTCTGCTCCAAATGCAAAACGTAAGTATTTAGATGAAGGAGAGACAGATGAAGACAAAGTGGAAGAATATAAGGCAAGTAGAGAATGTGATAAATTTATGGCCAAGAAAAAACTAAATCCTTGTAATAATAGATTCATACCCAGGAAAACAAATTTGATGGAAAGCTGAATTTTAATTTTAATTTTAAGATGTGCTAAAATAGTTGTTAGTAGCGTATGTTATCAACAATTATGACATTTGTATCAGTGCCCTTATTTTAATGCAAGATTTATATGGATTAAATTAGGTTTAATGTGTGGTAAACACTACGCAGTAGAAGAGTGAGGTTATAAATGTATCAGAAATGTTGGATAATTGGATCAGATTTTGAGAAAGTGAAGCAGTCTTTTTAAGCTGTGTTCCATGTTAGCAATATTAGGTAATACAATTAAAATATATTGAGAACTCATAACCTCGACTGCTATATAGAAATATTTCTGAAAGAGGCTCAAGAAAAACTTAACTTCTGAACTTGTAATTGCAGTATTTAATTGAAAAGAAAGTATTATGGATAAAAAATTTACCACCATTTTTTCAAGTTAATTATATCACTATAACAATAGAGAAGAGAATGCATAGTTTTAATAAATCTCTAGGCAGTTCAGTGATACACCTAATCTCATGAATATTGTCATATGTGTTGCATTATGTGTTAATATGTAACATATTTGTGATTATTTTAAGTGGCACCATATATAATTGCTGATAGTCTAACGTTTTTTATCTATGAGCATAACCATTTCATATGGTTCAATGTAATAGAAATAAAATTACCCCACTGGTGGTAATATCTTTCATGACTCAAGCTAAATTATAACATCTATGGTATTATATATGAGATAAATAATTTTTGGCAGTTCGGTCAACAAAACTATATGATAATGACAGAAAGTTTTCTTTTGCTATGAAAATAATCAACTTGCTGGATTAAAATTCAGCATAAATATTTATTTCCCTATGATGTAATAAATGCGTCAAATTGACATTAAAGTCTCTGCTTTTCCATATTAGGGAAATGAATATTTATTTTATTATTATTTTTGAGTTGGGATCTCACTCTGTCACCCAGCTGGAGTATAGTGGCAAGATCATAGCTCACAATAGCTTCAAACTCCTGGACTTAGGTGGTCCTTCTGCCTCAGCCTCCAGAGTAGCTGGGACTACAGGTACGTGCCACCATGCCTGGCTAATTTTCTTTTTTTTTTTTTTTTTTTTTTTTTTTT